AATTAGACGGGCAACTGACAGGGCTGAGAACTCGGTTCAGGTTCAAATTCCAATAATTGTTCAAACATTGTGCAGTTGTGAGTATAGAGCTGTGTTTTTTCAGTATTTTAAATACTGTTTAGTATATTTTTGAAGTAACAAAATATGACAGAATCGCTTGAAAAAAAAAACACAGAAAATTATGTTGTTAATTTAGTACTTACAGAACTTTTATGATACAGTGTTGTATAACTTAATAAAAAAGTAGTTATAAATTCCAATGCATGACCCTTCCAGCGCTGTGCACAATCGTATATGTACATATACTTACAGTTTTTTCAGCTTCTTTAATTTAATACTTTTATGGAAAATTCCTTAATCGTGATAGTGTAAATACACATTCCAGCCATAATATGGCTTATGTACATATATTTCCAGACAGTTCGGTATTTTTTTTTTTATGCGCTTCAAAGTGCATTTCTCATAACTCGTTTTAATTGTTGATCACGATTAGGGATTTTCGCATAAACGTAGTTAAATGCCTGACTTGACGAAACACTATTTTTTTTTTTTTTTTTTGCTCTCTCTGTCTCCCTTTTTTGCGTGGAGCGTTTACCGTTTGGCTTGCTGAAAACTTAATGACTGACCCCAAACAATTGCCAGTTGGCAGCTCGGTATACGGTTCCAGCTGTTGGAATATGCGCGTCTAATGCCAGCGAATAATCATTGGCGAATGTGCGGCGCAGCCTTTGCCTTTCGCTGTGACCATCCAGTTTTCAACCGAAAATGCGTTCCATACAAACACACATACATGCATACATACATATATGTACACTTACATACATGCATACATGTGTCAGTTTGTGCTTTTATGTGCAGTTGTATATATGTGTGCATATACATGCCTGAGTGTGTGTGTGTGTGACGACGCGCTTTTGTGTGTGTGTGTGTGTGTGTGTGTGTGTAGGGGAAGCCAGTGTAGGTCACCCAGAGAGGCAAACAGCTCCACACAATGCTTCATGTCGTCGTCGTCGTCGTCGTCGTCGTCGACGGCGTCGCTGGCGTCGCCGTTGTCGTCACGCAGCTTTTAAGCTCTCTAAGCCGCCCAAAATGTCTGCAGTCGCCGCATGTCACGCTTATTGGCCTAAGCCGCTGCCAGCGTTGCGTTCGCGTTGGACATGTGCCGTTATCAGCGCACTGGAACGAAATTTGCTTGGAAATGCCAAAAAAAAAATTGCGCACCACTGCCGCTGCTGCGAACACAATGTAACAAAACTCGAAGGGGCATCAAGTAGTTTCCTCTACACACACACACACACACACACACACATCTATATATATGTATGTATTATTGTTTCCGCAATGAATTTGATTAGAAGCCCGTCTCTTATCAGCTATGCGGAATTTCGCTCAGCGCATTTCTGTTGCCAAGCGAACGACCCACTGCTCCGAATTTCGATACACTGCGCCGCATGCAACCAATTGCAAGTTCTTGACTCTGTTTCCTATTTTTTTTTTTTTTTCGTTCTTCATTTTGGGTTTACTTTGGCCGCAGCCCAACCCAGCTCAACCCCCCCTCTACACCCCTCAGCCCAGGCAACCCTGCGGCCTGTGTCAATTTCTAGTGCGCATGTTTTCCTCGCATTCTTTTTGAGCAGCGACATTTTCAGTATGTATGCATGCAGTTTCTTTGTTTTTCATTCTACCTGAAGGTATTTTCCATTTCGACGCAAAACAACAACTTTGCCCATATAAATATTGCGTCTTATCGCTGCGACGCTGCGACGCTGCGACGGAATGCAATCACAATAGTTTATGCGTCACACGAAAGTATCTCTATCTATGGGGTGGAAAGTATCTATGTATCTTTGTGCGCAAAACCAGTTTGCACTGCACGAGAAGAACAATGAGAAGGAGGACGGGCAGGGGAACGGGGGGCATGTTACTTGATATTATCACGACCATTTCCATTCAGAATCAGTTGAGCTATTCAGGCTTATTAAGTCAATGCATTGTTGCATTTGATTAGACAATGATTTATTTCGAAACTCATTAGTAGATTAAATTTACTTAGGTTCAAAAAGATTTTGCTGTATTATATCATAAATGCGAACTGGTTCCAGCTCGAACGGAACTAGTTGTCGCAACTGAACCTGAACTAATAATCGCTTATAATTGTGAACTGAATTCTTCCATTTAAAAACTGCAATTGAAGGAAGTATTATATAGCTTAGTTTAGTTTTAAGGATAAAAGATTAAATTTACTTAGGTTCTTTATTATATTATAATCTGAACTGGTTCCAGCTTCTTATTCCATTTATTAATGATCGTGAACGGAACTAGTTCTCGAAGCTGAACCTGATCTGCATCATAATCAATTTCATTCCTTCTATAGCAAATCTATATTCCAGAAGCTCATGTCTAGCAAATATTCCTCATATCAGAGCTCAGTTGAAATTCTACATCGATCTTAATGCGTATTATTTATGGGGCGCTGATATCTCCGCACGAGCTAACGCCAAGCAGTCTGCCCGAGCAGTCTATATACCTATATCATTTATATATAGATCTGTATATATATATAGAGTGGCATTTGATAGCAGAAATAGAACTTGAAGAGTGTATCGAACTGCATGATGATGCTGAATTTAAATGATGCGACAATATTTGGGCATTGATTGCATTCGTGAGAGGCTTCGATTAGACACCTATACAGAAATAATAGGTTTTATTAATAATATAAATATGTCTGACATATGCCAACAGCTACAGCTATTTATCGTATTGCTACGGTATATTTCCTTTTTTTGGATAGCTTCTTCCATTCCCTCGCAATCGAGTAATAAACCTATTTAGAGGAAACATTTGTGTTTATTATGAGAATCGGACACTGAACATTGCTGCGTTTAGGGTATCTGATAGTCAGTGGCTCCCGCCTAGAGTAGTCTGACTTGTTTTAATTCTCCCATGATTGAGAAATACAAATATTTAGGGGATAAACTTTTGTTAATATATAACGCAAACATTGTTGCGTCCAGGGTATCTGTTAGTCGGGCATACCCGCCGCGATTACGCCTTCTTGTTTAAATGCCCCCATTATTGAGAAATATGTATATCAGTAAAGAAGGAATTCCCAAGCCTGCTGCCAGGGTATCTCCTAGTCGATCACACGCGCCTAATAAGCACGCCGCCTACTTGCTTTAATTAAACAAACGAAATTGATCTGTCTAGAACTTAATTGGCATCTTTAGCTGCGCTTAACTTTACGCAATTTGCACTTAATTGGTAACCGAAGACAGTGCCTGCCAAAAAGATGCCAACCAAAGACAGTGCCTGCTAAAAAGCTGCTAACGTGTGCACAATTAATGAGCAGCGCTTCAATTTCCACTCGCAGCGTTGCCAGAACGCTGAGCTCATTAGCGTTATGCTAGAAGAAGAAGAAGTGGAAGAGGAGGGTGTAGGGTACTCGCATTAGGGTAGTCGCAGCATCAGGTACTCGCCGAGCGAACAACCGTTAATTGAAAACGGGAAAAAGGCAAAACGGCAAAGAAGGTCGTTCATTTGCAGCCCGTTGCAAGGCGCATTCGTTTATTATTCCCCCCCTTGCACCCTCCTAGGTTAGCGTGAGATAATGATAAGATAAAGCATCGTCTGTGGCTTTGTCATAAGAAAGTAAAATACTTAAAACTGGGTGAAGCAACTACGAAAAGTCTTTTTGTAGCCCAAAAAAGAAGAAGAAGAACAACAACAACAACAGCAACAAAAAGAAGAAGATGAAGAACAACAACAGCGACAATAAAGCGGGCCAAGTAAACAAAAACCAAAAAGAAAACGAAAAGCAGCAGCAAGAAAAACATTTACAAAAGAAGTTCATTGAACCTGCGTAGCGCTTGGCTACTTTACACAACCAACTCCGCAACCGCGCCCCTTGCCCGCAGCAGCTCCGACTTCGACTGCGAACGTCTTCAAGTCAAATTTTGTTCGAGTCGAACGGCGAACGCAGAGAGAGAGAGAGAGAGAGAGCGACCGGGAGAGAGGTAGACTGGCCAGCTGCACATCTGCACAGGCAGCAGAATGCATTAGACAAAAGACTTGCAGAGCGAAACGCAGGCGGAGTGGGAGCGTGGGGGCGTGGGGCGTGGCGCACAGAAGTCAGCGCTGAAAGGTGAACGCCAAAAGGAAACCAAGCGAGCATAATGTAAAGGAGAAGAGGGGGAGAGGCAGGTCAGTAGTTCAAAATGCTGCCGCCACGCATAAACGATCAACAGTAAAAGACAACAACAACAATAACAACAACATTGAACGGGCAGCGTTGCCAGAGTTTGTGCGCTTCGCAGCCTGCCAGAGTTCGTTTTCTTTTCAAATGGGTGTTGCGAATATTTAAACAGCTTTTATCAACTACGTGTGTGTGTGTGTGTGTGTGTGTGTGTGTGCATGTATTTACATAAAAACAACACTTATGCCGCACGTACATGTACATGTACATGTCTGCATGCACATGTGTGTATTATGTGTACATAGCACATGTTTAAGTATTATGTAAACATATGTACTTACATTCGTACAAGCAGTTGCGTAGTCAGCAACTTTTCCGTAAGGGGCTTCGTTTGCAGCTAAACAACAATTTAAAGCTGATTGCGCTGCAATGTATTAACAATTTATTATATTTATGTTTTGTGCATTTCGCAACAAATGCCAAACGAGATTTTCATAACAACACACTCGTTGACCCAGAGTCGGAGTCGAGTGTGTGACTCCCCTCCCCCCAGTTACTACGCCCCTGGCATGCATGCATACATAAGCACGTTAAGGCATGAAAGCGATGAAGACGACGACGACGACGGCGACGGCGACGACTACGAAACGCGAACAACGAAACGACGAATCGACGAAACGATGAAACCAAAGCGATGGCATGACTGTACTATGTATGTATGTATGTATGTATGTACACACAGAGCGTATACAAACAGCGACGAAACACATACGCGTGCGAGCTGCAGCTGTGTGTGCGTGTGTGTGTGTGTGTGTCTGTGTGTGTGTCCCAGGTATAGCGGAGGGTATGTACGCGCTTCGCGCCTGTTGCAAAATTCAGTGCCGCAGTTTCGTTCGTGACGAAAGGATGTACGCCCGGTTGTAGGCCGTACATACACACACACACACACACACGCACACACATACATACATGCATACATGCATACATAGAGAGACATGCACAGCTTCGACATGCACACGCACACGCACACATCCATCTACACAGACAACATGCCAAAGAGCGGCGAATACGAGGAGCTGGCTCAACTGTTAAAATCTTGGAACGTCAGCGAGCTGTTGCCGTATTTGCAAGGTAAACAAAACAAAACGGAACGAAACAGAACGAAGAATAATGAAAGCAACAAAAGTGCTGTACGAATTCTGTTCGAATTCTGTTATACAACTGATAACTCGTATACGACTGCTAACTCTTATACTATCCACGCACACAGAGGAGGCAATTAACACGCAGGAGCTGCAGATGTTGAAGCGGCATCATCTGAACGAGCTGCTGCGCAACTTTCGCTATGGCACACGTATACGATTTGAGCATCATCTGGAACGCTGGCGTCGCTGGCTCAATGTGCCGCTGCAGGATGCGTCGCCCTGCAGCGGCAGAGTTGCCCATGTGGACAGCGGCTCTATGGGGCACTGCAGCGGCTGTCGCTGCTCGGGCGACAGCTTCCAGCAGACGAAAAGCCATTCCAAGTCCGATCTGTTGGATGACAGCCGATCCAAACAGCTGCCGGCGGAGCCATTTGTGACGCTCAGCGAGATGACGGATGGCTCGCAGTTTAATGTGCCGCTGCCGCTGGGCGATCACAGCGAACTGGTCCACACGGAGCTTGTGACGGCGGATCTGATCAAGCCGGAAATAACCGAACCGGATGTTAGCGAGGAGAGCGGCGTCACGGTCCTGTCCATATTGCAGGCATCGCCGGTCAAGGCGCAATCCCTGCTAGAGCGTTTGGGCCAGAACGAGCAGCTGGATGCAGTGCAGCGTCTGCTGCTGATCCAGCTCATCTGCAGCTATTACGAGGACAATCGTTTGCATTTGACCCTGCAGCGCAGTCACCTGCTGGAGCGCGAGATTCTGCAGCTGTTCCCCAAGGAGCAGCTCTGTTTCTATCGCACTGAGCGGCGCGGCAAGATCTACGTGAGATTCACCAACATGAAGCGGAACAAACGGTTTGGCGCCCAGAAGCGGCGCCGCGAGGAATCGATGGCACCGCCCACCTCCTTTGTATCCAAGGAGGTCACCTTTGGCGGCGATCCCATGTCCAGTCCCGAGAGATCAGATTGATATGCTAAGCCTAGTTTCTAAGATAGTTTCCACACATAACTCATCCCAATCCACATCATATCGATTCCTAGATCATGTCCCATGCACACGATACGTTTATTTGACTTGAATATCGATATATCGGATATATCGTCAATATCGATATATCTTATATCGTAAATATCGAGCTATATTACGTAAATATGATATATCTTGTATATCGTAAATATGTATATCGGATGTATATCCTGTATATCGATATATCGATGTATTGCAAATGTCGATATCTTATTTATCGTAAATATCGACGTATACTGTACATTGTAAATGTCGATATATCGGGTATATCGTAAATATGAATATATCTTATAAATCGTAAATGTCGTTATATCGTAAATAACGATATATCTTATGTAACGATATATCTTATATCGTAAATATGAATATATCTTATATATCGTAAACATCGATTTATCGTATATATCGTAAATAACGATATTCTTTCCTTGGTATTACGATATCCAAACTCATCATCATCTTATCATCTTATCTATTGCTAACTCGTAACTGTTGAGGACTACGTGTATTCCATATATGTATGTATATTAGATAAGTTAAGAATTGGTTTTACTTTTTATATGGTATGCTTTCAAGGAATTTTAATTGTAGCATATTATCTCAAAGTTAATAGCGTTTGTGAGTGTGTATTAAGATCGTTATAAACTCTAGATTTATCTAATAAATATTTACAACTTATATAGCGCGATATAAAAACTATACAATAGAAGCCAGAACTAAAATTAACTATAAGCAAGCTAGTCGTCTAAATGGAATGGAATAACTGGTTAACGAACCGAACGAGAGACTATGTGTTAAGGCCTATTCATCTCAAGTAACTCTAGAATTATAAAAGCTAGCGATATGAAATTTGGTATATAGGTTCTCGTAGAACTAACAACGTGTTTAGAAAAGTGCTTTGTAAGATAAAGCTCCGATTCCTTGACTTATAGACCAATAAGGCCAATACACCTCAAGGAACTTAGCGACTATAAAAGTTAGAGACATGAAATTTGGTATATAGGTTCTCGTAGAACTTACAAAGAGATTAGAAAAGTGCTTTGTAAGATAAAGCTCCGATTCCTTGACTTATAGACAAATAAGGCCTATATACCTCAAGGAACTCAGCGACTATAAAAGCTAGAGACATGAAATTTGGTATATAGGTTCTCGTAGAACTTACAACGAGTTTAGAAAAGTGATTTGTAAGATAAAGCTCCGATTTCTTGACTTATAGACGTGGAAGTGAAGCAATATAGCGAGGCATATAGAGTATCTTTGCGTCTACGCGTTACGTTTTTGCGGCGACTTCGAACACGTACAGAAATAAATCAGAGATACTCATGACAGTTGGAGACAACTTTGCGGTGGGCAGCGCGTCGTCACGTAGCGTGCGGCAAAGACCCCCAAAGCGAAGAGGACGTAACCCAAACAAATGCACGAGTGTTTGCCTTGTTGAATAATTTGGGGCTAAAGTCAAACAAATGAGGCACAGTCACAGTATCTTGCAGATACTTTTGCAGTGTTGCCAGACAATTTGGCAAGCAACTGGCAACGCGGCAAATGCAAAAAGCCAAACAGGCAATGGGCCAAGTTCTAAGCACTGCGATCGATTCGAACGACTAGCTGTAAATATCTGACGCATGTATCTGACAGATACAGATACAGCGAACTGTGCAAACTTAATTAGAAAAAAAAAAAACTACAAATTTGCGCAATTTTCTTGCCTCTTTGTCGCCTGGCAATTAAATCAGCCGATGCGGCGCTACGCGTGGGCGTGGCGTATGCGGGGGGAGGGGGGGAGTGGCAGAGCATGTGTGTGCATGTGTGGGTGTTTGACTCTTGAGCTAATTAATTACTCGCTCCTTTGCCAGCGTTTTGCACTTGAGCGCATGTTTTCTGCTAATTGACTTTATCGCTGTCGCGACAAAGAACAAACAGAACTATCTAACAGATACGTATTGCACATATGTATGTATGTATGTATGTATGTGCGTGCCTGATAAAGAGTGCAAATGTATGTATGTAACAGAAAAGTCTTTTTTTTTCTGCTCTTCGTTCAATAAAACGCTGCATTTAACAGAGGGGCGTGTACATTAAAAGGGCGTCTTAGTGGAGGGGGGGAGGGGTGTGTGGCTATACTCATTTTGTTTGTGTGTATCTGCTACGAAAGTACGGCAACGCTGCTCAGCTGGCCACAAATAAATAGGTCGTCGGCTACAAAACAATTTGTCGCTCACAACAAAGCTACAAAGCCAACAGACATGCATACATATATTGTACATACAGCAAGAGAGAGAGAGAGAGAGAGAGCGAGCGAGCTTTGCAGCTGTTAAAAGCTTTGCTACTACATACATATTTATCTAGCTTGTGCGTGTGTGTGTGTGTGTGTGTGTGTGTGACAGCATAATTTTGATCGGTAAATGAAAACAAATTGCGGCTATTAACGTGTCAATAGCACAGAACATTGATCAAGGCGCATTCACACACACACACACACACGCACAAGTGTATCACAGCTGTTATACGCCTATCGATACGTATTAAGTGTGCGCCTCTCCCTCTCTCTCTCTCTCTCGCTTGCGCGCTTCTGTTGCCTGCGTATTGGTGTGTTTCTATGACATTGTACATGTGCGTATGTACATACATACGTACATGTGTGTGCATGTGTATGTGCGTTATATGCGCTGCTCTGTCGAATAGGGAAAGTAGGTCAATTACACGTGTCATATGTATGTATGCGAGTGAGTACAGCGCACACACTTATGCATGTGTATGTGCCTGCGTACATAACCACACTTTATGCTTATTTCAGGCCATTATTTTGTTAAAATTGTATTCTGCTGCTCATTTTTGTTTGGCTTTTCTTTTGGAAACTCTTGTGCTCGTAATTTGTGCTGCACAAATATGTTTCTGGGTCGGCCGGATAATCGTTTGTTTATGCTCTCAAATAAAACAACAAACACAGACACACACATGCAAGCACTTGTCTGAAGTATTTGATAAATGGGACACTATTTGCCTTGAAAAACGGCACTTGATGAATATTTGTTGAAAATCTAGTTAGATTGGGCAACAATTCCATAACCCAATTGGAATTGTCTAAATATGCTCTGAGTGAATTTTTGCTGTAACTTCACTTTTTTAATGGTCACACTGAAGTCTAGTCATAAATCTGGTTAGACTTGCATAATTCCTGTTTATATAGTTAATATTGTTATATAGTTAATATAGCTCGATTTCAGCTATAAATATCCCTTCGGGACTTTTTCTTTTGATATTTGTGCTTGGCTTGGAAATCTAGTTGGATGTAGGTAGTTATCCAATTGGATATGCTACATGTTAAGTCCTAAGAGTTGTCTAACTAAATCATCCAGACTTTTAAAATTCCTGCACACCTACTCTAATTGGGACACACACAGTGTTAACAGTCTAATAAGATGCGGTTATTGCCTCTTTATTGGTATTCTAATACGAATTATTAGCTCCGCATTTTGTTTTCAACATTTTCAGCCTGAATTTAAACAATTGAGGCTGAATTAATTAAAACTTAGCTGGTTGGCAACAGTGTTTGCCAATTGGAATTCTAAAGTTTCGCTTATTGGATCGTTAGTTTCATCAAATTTCCATTGCTGATGACATAATGAGCTAATAAGACCGTGCAGCATGCATTACCAAGTCCAATAAGAACTAGAAGAGGAAGAAGAAGCAGAAGCAAGACCACACCCCCGAAAATCTAATACATAAATATATGTATGTAACAGAATTTGGCCATTAAATTGCAAAAGGAAAAACACACAAAAAAAGGAAAATGAAAAAGAAAAGAAAAAGCTTTTAAGCTGTGGAAAGGACGTTGAAAGGACGAAGCCATTGGAATGTGCCCAGAGGAGAAAAACAAAAATGTATGCGCAGAAAAAAAAAGCAGAGGAAAAAAAAAAGGAAGCTCGCGATAAGAAAACTCAACTATGTAGAAATATGTACCCAAGAATTGGGTCAATCGATAAAAAGCAACAGCGGCAGCGATGCCAACGCCAACGCCGACGCCGACGCCAACAGCGACTGCGACTGAGCTGGGCAGCACATGCGCCCATCCATGCGAGGGGCTGCAAACGTTTCGGGGTTGGGCTGAGCTTTTGTCGCTGCAGAGACGAGAGCAGTAATCCAATTGGACAGTAATAACTAACTGTACATACGCCGCTCGTGCAAGTGTGCGTATATTTCTAACTACTTACATATATGTATGTATGTGTGTGCGTGGTAACGGTATATGCTGCATGTGTGTGTGTGTGTGTGTGTTTATATAAGCAGTTACATATATGATTACATCATGCTTTGTGCGGGTGTGTGTGTGTGTGTGTGTGTGTGTGGGCGTTTAGCTTTTAATATTGTATAGGGCAGCTGGCACTGCGATTCCAATTGCGTGGGCTGCTGCTTGTTTCCAATTTGCGGCACCATTTACCAGGCCAAAGTCTGGTTAGTTTCTGGTTAGAATACAGAATGTACCCAATAAGACAGCATAATGCATGCGTGCGTTTTGTGCCAGCCGCAGCGCAAAACAAATGGAATTCGTTTGTGGCTAAGATAATTGTTTTGTAATTTAAATGTTTTATTGCATATTTAATTGTTTTTTCTTAAGGTGAGGTTTTCTGATTGGAATTTAAATAGCCACTGCTTGCGGCCGTTAGCAGCGGGCGCTGCCTGTGCGCTGCTTGCTGTTCAAGCAGTTTGTGTTTACAGTATGTTGACGCAAATTGAGCAGCCACTATGCTGTTAACGCAAAATTGAGCGCAGGCTGGCGCACAGTTGAGTAACGTGAAGTTAGCAGCGGTTGCCGCACAAGCCCGGCATATTTGAAACGCAAGTACAGTGAAACCAAGCCGCCCATTTCCCACTCAAATTGAGTACAAACCAAATTGCATATTATTTGAAATATATTTTATTGGTAGGCAGTTTTGAAGAACATTTGTAATGACATTTATATATAATGAACATGTTTCAAATAATCGTTTCATTTCATACCATTTCATCTCGTATTTTTTTTTTAATATTCTTCTATGTATGTATATAATAAATTTATTTATTTTGTGGTTTTTCTTGTTGTTGTTGTTCTTTTAACTCATATATTATGTTATGTTATTTTAGTTGCTGCGGTTTTCTTTTAATGCATATACCTTGTAAACTTATTTAGTTCATATATGTATAATATATATATATATATATTTATATATATATATATATATATATATATATATGTAGGTATGTATGTGTGTATGTGTATATATATCATGGCTTAACTATATATATAATGTATATATATATAAGTATTTGTTTATGTTTTTATTTATCAATAATCAATATCGTAGATCACCAAACTTGTTAAAAAAATGTATACACGAATTTCTTTTGGTTTTTTGGTATTTTTGGTATTTGTTTGCCTAGTATTTTGTTCAAACTGCTTTTTACGCTTCTCTCTAAACAAGTTAACTGCTGTTGTTGTTGTTGTTGTTACAATTTTGATCTCATTTTAAACGTTCTCGGCCCACTGTACTCTGCTATGTTTGCTTTTATTTATATATGTATGTATATATATATATATATATATATGTTTATATAATTTGCGCTATTTTTCTATACTTTTTTAAATACGCTTATCTATGCTGTGTGTGTGTGTGTGTGTGTCTGTGTGTGTGTGTATTGCTTTCAGTGTGACCAAACACTAAATTCTCGGCACTAAAAAAAACTCAAATAAATTAACCAAAGCTCTGTTTGCGATTACTGTTAAATTCATTGGGTAACTTACTGTTAAGTGTATACGTGTGTGTGTGTGTGTGTGTGTGTGTGTGTGTGTGTGTGTGTGCCTATAACATTGAGTTTACAGTATGCTAATTACATAATCGAATTTCTAGTTTTTGTTGCATTTATTATTATTTTGTTTTGTATAGAAAAATGTTGAAGCTTTTTTTATTTGATTTTAATTTTAATATTATTATTATTTATTATTTGTATTAATTGTACGAGTTTTACGTTTTAGTTTGTAATTTGGGTACACGACGGCGGGGATAATATGATTAAAGTGTTTTTATTTATAATTGTAATTTCTTGTATTATTATTTCTAATGTTGCTTTTTGTTTATTTGTATATATATATATAGATGTATATGTATATAATATAGACAATGTACCGTTAGTTTTTAATTTAGTTTTCATCTCTTTTGTTGTAGTTGAAACTATCTAGGCTAATAATAATATTAATAAGAACTTGTTCATACTTTAAAGGCAAATGTTTTCCTTTGTTTTGAAATTTGTTTGTTTACAGAAAGAGATAGAGAGAGAGTTGTTTCTATATCTATATATATATATATATATATATATATATATATATATTTATTTATTTATTTATGTAAATATGTTTATATAGAGAATAATTGTTCTTCATTTACATGTTCTGTATTATTTTTGGTGCTATAACATATATATATATATATATATATATATATATATATATATATATATATATATATATATATATATATATTGGGGATATGTTGGCTTTCAACAGAAATTGAATTTTTAATTTAGACAAAGTTGTGTATGTGTGTTTGTGTGTGTGTGTGTGTGTGTGTGTGTGCCTGTCAAATATTGTCAACGTTGTGTGTTTTTCCGAAGTTTGATGTGTCCCAACGATTTTGTTGATTTGTCCTTTCAATTGCTTGATTAAACTGTGTGTTCTTTTTTTCGAGTGTACTTACGAGTAGTTTTATGCAAGTATCGATGCTAAGTATATATGGCATATATAGAGTTAACTGTAGTCATATATAATACATCTTGTGTTATGCCTAACCTCTTTCTATATATATATATATGTATATATGTATATGTATATAGATATAGATATATGTTTATGTACACATTTGCCCGGCTGTTGGCAATGTTTAGAGACAAAGAAGTGTTTAATTATTACTTGACTTGCAACTCGTTTAACTGCGCTTTACCCGTCGTTCCTAGTTTAGGAACTTTTTAGGGGGCCCTTAGTTATGTACACACAAAGCGAATGCCTATCGAATGTGTTGATTCGATAGCATTGCCTCAACTAACGATAAACAGCGTATATGCATATATATGCATATATATATATATATAATTAACGTAATGTGTGAGTATTGCGTTATTTTCGACTGACTGACAACGTTATCGATAACGCTATCGATAGCGATAACGATGTCGATAGATATTTCAATATGTTATCGATTTATCGATTGTGTAAATTATAATCGAGTGTTGATTTGATGAGCACTTTTTCGCTTTGCTTTGCTTCGCTTTGGTTCTAAGTATAAAAAAGAAATTTTATCTTTTGGGTTTGATTTTGTCTATCGATTTGTTATCGATAACTATTGCGAGTGTGTGATATTGATATATATATATATATATATATATATATATATATATATATATATATATATATAGATATAAGGTTGTATGATATGATTGTTTGTTTAATCTGAATGTCTTGGGCGTTGTCAAGTGATTGGGGGTATTCCGCTAATAAACAAATGTGTTTAAGTTTTTTTTTTTTTTAGCAGCAATTGAGTCTTAATTGAAAATGGTTTTTTTTTTTGTGTGTCTATGCGTGACGGGAGTACCGCTAATGTTGCATTTTATTTTGATTAGCTTCAATTCAAACAGAATTCTTTGAGTTTTATTGGAGTTTCTTCCACTTTAATGAAATGAACATATTTAATTTATATGGAAACATTGGCAGTGTTAATAATCTTTGCTTGAAAGAATACAAAATGTGGAAACAACGCTAATAATTCTATATATATATATATATATATATATATATATATATATATATATATTGCTAGACGATCTTAATTTTTTATATGTAAATATATTTATATATATATATATATATATATACTGTATGCTAGTATATATATATGTATGCATTTGTATGATAACAATAACACATTTGCATTTATCTAAACTCTTCTAAATAAAAAAGCAAACTTTGACAGTGTACATTAGGGGCATGCCCTTAATTCTATTGCCGAATCGATGCACCTCACAGCAAGAGATTAAAGCGGGGAGCTGAGTGTGGAGTCTGGAGGCGGGAGTTTGACAGTGAATATTTGGGGTATTCCCTTTATTCTACTTGCCGAATCGATTCAACCCAAATATTGGGGGTTTTCCCTTTATTCTACTTGCCGAATCGATTCAACTCTGGACTGGACAGTGAACATTAGGGGTATTTCCTATTCCCTTACTGTGGAGTGTGAAGTCGGGAGTTTAAATTGAACTAGATGCTTTCATTAGGTATATTCTTGTATATGTATTAAATTTGATCTCTATGTACGATAGATGCCATGTATATTTGAACTAATTAAAATAGATTTCGAATGAAGTTTTAAGTTATATTCTATTTGAATTTGAGTTTTGAGTTTTTAGGCATATTTCTGGTAATAGTTTCTTGCAATTTACTCTTTGGTACACGGCTAAAGGCTACGCAATATTTTATACACATATGTATATTTTTATATATATTCATATCGTCATTTATAATCGTATCAGGGGCTATATATAAATTTATTGCTCTACTCTTTATTTGTATACGTATTCGGATCGCACGACTACGATAGATGCTGTATGTACAGTGTGTGATAAATATATAGTATGTGTGTTTATATATATATAGATTTATGTTCTGCATGTGTCTTGTGATTTTGAATTTGTTTTCAGTTTTTTAACTAACTATAACAGAGGCTAGCACATCGTTAGCTACATAAATATATATATATATGTACTTTTCATAATTATACGATACGTTGCCTAACAATTTATACGTAGTATTTATGTATATTTGATAATTATATTATTTATTCATTTGTTTCGCTTTTTTCTTGCTTTTGTGAATCACATTCGCGCCGTATGCAAAACTGGGTATCGTGCCGAGAAAAAAAAGACGAACTCTATTTGAGTTTACACAACTTGAAAAATGTAAAATATTTGTAGAGAACTTTGAAATTTGATAAAATTGTTCATTTACAGGGTATCGGATGTCGTGTTAACTCAATACGAGCCGGTGCCGGGAAAGTGTAGTCTACTTTACAGCGTATAAGACGAACAGATTCGAAGATCAACAGTTAACTAGACAGCGAGAGCAAGAGCAAGAGCAAGAGAGAGAGAGAGATAGAGAGAGAGAGAGGGGTTCGAAATCGATTGAGGGGGAGAGTTAAGTTGAGGTTAAGTTGAAGTTCGAAATGGAGAGAGTTACAAATCTGACATTTACATAAATGCATTCATAATTTGAGTATAGCGGCAACCTAATTACAATATAATAAATATCAAATAATTTGCTTGCATTTACATATGTCATTTACAAATGTGTGTGTGTATGTGTGTGTATGTGTGTGTGTGTGTGTGTGGTACATAGTAGTAGAAGAAATACTGCATAGTCGGTATATCGGTAATCGGTAGTATACAAAATAGTAGACAGTGCTGTTATTTGTTGTGTTAGGCTTGTACTTATACTTGCGGCGAGACAAGTACTTATACGCTTTCGATTTAGAAGAAGCTCTTCAAGAAGCCAGCGGGTCCAGCCTGTAAAAAAAAAAAAAAAAACCAGCAGCCGATTAAGTTTAACAGCGTGTATAAGACAATAAATGTTAACTTACGTCCTGCTGCTGCTGCTGTTGTGTTTGTGCTTGTTTGACTTTGGCTTGAGCGATCTTTAAGGCTCTGCGAGAGTATAAGAGTGATTAGCTTGTTGGTTTCACCTGTTTTTTTATTTCATTTATACTCACTGTTGCAAATCCATAATGGTCTTCTCTTTGGCATTTTGCTCCTCTTGTGACATTTGTACCAATTGCAGCAGGCGCTCCGTTTCGGTTGCCGCCTTCTTGTGCTCCTCTTTTGTGTTTTGCAGTTCCTTGACGCAGCTGCAAGGTCAGAAAATACAAAATATGATGAGTATAAGAGCTTTAGCAGAGAGTTTAACATTGCATTGCTGTGTTCTGTTATGTTCATGTTATGTTAAGTCTAATCAACAGCCGCGGCAATATAAGCTAATGTAATGATTATTAACATTGCACTGACATGCTATGTTAACATCTTATGTTAACTCTGGTTATCGATGTTCGATATATGTTATGCTTATGCTAATGTCAACAGCTGCCGAGGCATTATAAAAGTAACATAGTTCGGTCACACTGTTGAAAAAATGGCGCATCATTCGCCAAATTCGCGAATAATAAATGACTTAATATTGTGTTTAAGTGGTAAAGTGCAAGTGTTAAGTGCTCAAATTATGAAATAAATATTGTCAGGTAAGTTGATAGCCTGTTAAAGCTTTTACTTACGCCTCGAGCTGCCGCTGCGTGTCCATTAGCTTTTTGTTAAGCTCGCCGGCGGCCGCTGCGCCGCCGCCCTGAGTCTGCAATGACTTTTCCAGCTGATCCATTTGCTCCTTTCGCTTGCGCAACTGCACATCGAACTCGGCCATTTTCTTTTCCTTGTCCTCGATATCCTTGCGCTTGGCCTCGATCTGTTTGCGCTGCTCGTCGATTATCTTGCGCTCGCCTTCGGTGGCCTTCGCCTGGTTGTCGATCTGTTTGCGCACCTCCTCCAGCTGCTTCTGCTGCTGCTCCAGTTGCTGCCGCTGTACGTCTGTTGCCGCGGCGCCCGCGCTGCCCGCCTGCTGCAGCTGTTGCATTTGCTGCTGCAGCTGTTGGATCTGCTGCTGCAGCTGCTGCACCTGCTGCTGCGCCGTCTGCAGCTGCTTTGCCTGCTCCTGATTGGACAACTGCACCGATTGAATGAGTGAGGGAGGGGGGGGGGGGGTAGGCAAAACAAACATGTTAAGTCGATTAACAACCCTGTATAAAGTTCTGACTGGCACACATACATAAACACATACACACGCACGCACACACACATACGACCGCACGGCTGCGTCTGTGTTTCTGCTTCTTCTTCACGCTTTGTGCAAAATGCATTTGCGAATAACTTTGAAGCTTTTTATTCGATTTTGATGATTTCTTTTTCAGCATTTAGTTGTTATCCTTCGCTTCTTTTGAACATTATTATTATTTTTTAATTCTCCCAATTATTAAATTTTGTTCGTTCTAAACTTTTAAAAGTTTTGTGTATCTTCGTTTAAAAGATTTTTTCTTTGGTGAAATATGGTAAAAGGTGAAATATGGTGAAAGGTGAAATAGTAGACTATGAGAAAAATCATAGCCTCATACTACATTTAGAATTTCCAAGCTCTTATACAATAAATTACGATAGCTTAAATATGTGTATCGACTCTTATCGATATCATCGACTTATCGATCATTTAAAATAATCTTTACCGCAAATCTAGTTCAAGTTCTCTGGCGCTTTAAGTCTTTAATACTGACACGTTTTAAGATATTAAATATATTCTTCCTTCTTTCTTTCCTTCATTCACACATCTCTACACACAGCCATTTCTCTCTCATTCTTAAGCTATTCTCAAGGGATGCACACTTATTTAGGAATAGCGCTTAGTCGTTCGCTTACCTGGCTCTTTTCAAGCTCCTGCACCAATAGCTCCAGCTGCTGCTGGAAGCGATCACGCTCCGTGCAGGCCGCCTGCAGTTCAACTTTGACCTTTTCAAGCTCCTTGGCATCGACGCCGCCGCTGGCTGCCGCCGTTTGCTGTTGCTGCGCCGCCTGCTGCGCTGCCTGCTGCTGCTGTTGCGTCATCTGCTGCTGCATCTTTTGCATCTGGGCGTGCTGATCCTTGATGTGTTGGTCCATCAGCTGGCAAATGGGGCAAATGAGGTTGAAGCTGGGGCTTTCGGTTCGGTTCTTTCGGCTGTACTCACCTGTATGCGCTTGTGCATCTCCTGGGCAGCCTTGTCGGCCATGTCGGCGCGATTCTTTTCCTGCTCGATAACCTTGCGCCACTGTTCGATCTCCTCGCGGCTGGCGCCCGCTGCGGCTGCCGCTGCCTGTTGTTGTTGTTGTGGTCCCGCGGCTGCCAGGGCGCGCTCCGATTCCTGCAGCTTCTGCTGCAGCGTTTGGATCTCTTTTTGCATGGCCTGAATTTCGGCGGGTGCGGCGGGCGCAACGGGCTGGCCGTTGCGCAGCTTGCGATTCTCCTCGCGCGTCTTTTGCAATTCCTGTTCGGCGTTTTGCAGCTCCTTTTGGAAGTTCATCAGTATCTCCTGACTCTTTTCCAGCTGCAGCACAAGCTGTTCACGCTCCATGGCCAGCTGTTTGACATCGTTCTCCAGCTTCTGGACGTGCTTCTCCAGCTGTGGATGGGCGCCGCCGGCGGCACCGGGGCCGCGACTGCTCTGCCGCAGAGCTTCCTTTTCCGACTCGGATTTCTCGAGACGATCGTGCAGGCGTCCAAGCTCGGCGCCCATGCGCTCGAATTCGATGCGCGTGGACTCGGTATTCTCCTGCTGTTTGGCCAAATGCATTTGTGCCTTCTCCAGTTCCTTGGCCAAGCGACCGGCCTCCAGTTCGGTAGCATCGCGCGACTGCAGCGCCTTCTCGAGGCGATCACGCAGCCGATCGATCTCCTGTCGCTCGCCCGCTGAGATCGCGGCGGACGAGCGCACCGGCTCGCCGGGGCTCACCGAGGACTGTTGCAGGCGCAAACGATCGACCTCCTTCAGCAGTTTCTCGTGCTTGTCTCGCGCCTTCTCACGCTCAATGTGGGCACGCTCCAGCTCGCTGCGCTGTTTGTCCTGGTTGGCCAGCAATTTAGCGACCTCGCCCTTGGACAGTTCAAGCTGCAGACTGGTCTCGTGCAGCTTCGACTCCATGTTCTGTATTTCGGTCTCGATCTTCTCGTATTTATCCTTGTATTTCTCAAAGGATTCTGACTCGTATTGCGACTTGCCGCGTATCGTCTCCAGCTCCATCAGTGTCTTGTCCAGCTTCTCGCGCAACCGTTCGTTCTCCTCCTTGAGGCGACGCGTCTCACGTCCAAACGTGTCTGTGTCCTGCAGCTTGCGCAGCTCCACCTGATTCTTTTCGTAGCGCTCGCGCAGCTTCTCCAGCTCGACGGCATAGTGGGCTGCCTCCTCCTTGGCGGCCTCCACGCTGGCGGCCGCTTTGGTCTGTGCCGCATGGGCACGCTCCAGCTCGTAGGTGACGCGCTCCAGCTCCGATTGGAAGTGCTCCTTTTCGCCCTGGGCGCGTCGTATGTCCGTTTGCATCTTGTCGAATCGATCCCGATTGTGTTCCAGTTCGGTGCGCGCATTATCCTCGCACTCCTTGGCGCGACTGAGCTGCAGGGCGGCACGATCGCAGGCCTCCTGCAGCCGTGTGCTTTCGTCCTGCAGCTTGCGCAGATCCTCGCGCGCCTTCGAGGCGGCCAAGCCGGAGCGTTCGGCCTCCACCTCGAGTCGGGCGCGATCCGCCTCAGCGGTATCGCAGCGCGATTGCAGGCGATAGATCTCGTTCTGAGCACGATCGTACTTCTCCAGCATCTTCTCGAACTCCTTGTTGGATGTGTCCTTCTCGTCGATGAGCTTCTGGCTGGCATAGAGAGCCTTGTCCAGTTTCTCCTTGAGTATTTCCACCTCGGTGACAGCATCATCGCGCTCCATCTGCAAGAGCAAAGGGATTTGGTCAAGCTTTAAATTAAATCTGGAAGGGATCGGGGCTTTCAGCTGGGCCAAGCAGTGTTCAAGGAAGCTAAAAAATTTACAAACAGCCAATTCACTGGTAGTTGTCAGTTTCTCATGCGTTTTTGATTAGTTACGATTAGTGTTAAATATTATAATATACATATGTGTATATATATTTATAGAGCCAATTGTTTTGTACCTCGCTTTTCTTTGTGTGTTTCTGGGTTCAAATTACCTGCAGTTTCTGCTGTATGGCATGCGATTTCTCATAGCGCTCTTTAAGTACTTCCAGATCGGTTTGCATCGCCTCACGATCTCGTGCGGCCTTCATGAGCAGCGTCTGGGAGGATTCCGAGCGCTCCTTGAGCGTTTCCAGTTCATCAGAGAACTGATCCCTTTCCTTTTGTATGCGCGCTAGCTGCATCTGTTTTTTTTTTTTTTTTATTGAGTGTATTCATGGGTGTATTCAAAGTGTTCGTGTTACATACATACATAGCAGATAGTTGAAAGATAGATACGTATATACGATAGGCAATACACTTAGGATTTATGTTTATATATATATATGTGTATATATATATTTATGTATAATGCATCGCAAATGGTGTTTAGTATGTTCTATATGGTATATGGGCATTTACAGGGCTTCATTGTCGAGAATAGAAGATTCAGGTTGTCTATCAGGCTTCTTCGTATGTCTTAACGTCTGTAACGTATTACGTAACGTCTGTTACATGTTACTTAATGTATGTTTGGTGTTACGTAACGTTTGTTCCGTAATACGTAACGTGTTACGTAACGTCTGATACGTTTTACATAACATTTGCTATGATAAACGCGTTAGTTAAAGTCATGTTACATGACGTAACACACCTAATGCCTGTTACGTAATCCGAAAGACTCATTAGGCATAAGCCAACATTTCCTACCCGTACAACTCGGTCAAATCACGTTCGATTTTCACGAGGTTTGGCCTTTTGTTCAAGGTTTGACCTCTAGAGCAATTTGACGTCTCGATCTAGCAACATTATTCTTGGTCAAAATGAGTTTTTGATGATATTTTCAATTAATTTAAAATAACCTTTTTAGCCGGAAATGCCCATATACCTATATTTAGTAGTAGCTATGTACAATTGGTTGGTGAGGAAGGAAGGGAGGATTATTGTGTTAGTTGAGTATTGGGATTCAGGTATTTACAACACATTACAGTAACATTTGATAGACAACGTTTAGGCACAGGTTAGGTAACAAGATCTACGCGTGTTGCATGGCTCGGCGTCTGTGTCGTGTGTTTCTGTGTGTGTTTCTGCTTTGGTGTGCGTGTCTGTGTGTGTTGTGGCACCTTGGGGGCATCCCATACCTGCGTCTTCTCAAGCTTTTCGCGTATGCGATCCGTATCCAGCGTGAGAGTTTCGCGTTCCTTCTGCATGCGCGCCGCCTGGCCGAGCGCCTTGTCCAGCTGCGATTGGAGATTATCATAGTCATAGGTGAGCTTCTCCTTTTCGAGCACCAGACGTCGATTCTCGGTGCCGGCCTTGTCTAGTTTATCCTGCAGATGATCGACCTCGTTCTGTGCCTTGTCCAGCGTGTTTTGCAGCTTCTCGTGCTGCAGCTGCGCCTTGCCCAGCGTTGCCTGCGTGCGCTCCATTTCCTCCTTGATCTTCTCCACCTCGGCGAACGCCTATCGTAGGAGTGGGATGTTTTGAGAGGAACGGGCTATGGACTAGCTGAAAGTGTTTGCCTACCCGATCGCGATCGGCGTGTATACGCGAGACGCCGCTCTGCGCCTTCTCCAGCTCCTGGCGCAGACTCTCCTGCTCGCCCTGGGCATTCTCCAGCTTCGCCTTCAGTCGGTACACTTCGCCCTGGCTCTTCTCCAGCTTCTCCTGCAGTGCGGCGGCCTCTTCGCGTGCGCGCTCCGCATCCGACTGCGCATTATCGTTGGGGGTTTTTTGTTATCGTTATCGAGTTAATGTGACGGACGGGGGGTAAATTGGATGTGGATAACGGATATTATTTACAGGCAGCATGTGAGGATGGTTCTTAAATGAATGAATGTCTGACTGACTGACTGACTGGTTGACTGACTGATTGACTGACTGACTGACCGATTGTCAGACACAAAACAAAGGTAAACAACAAGTACGAGTACTTATAATAATTACGATAACAAATACGATTACGATTACGATTACGATAACAGCGTCTAAAACGAGCGATTCATATGTATGCTGCGAGGCTTAGCACAAAGCGAATTCACAATAGACAGTGGATGACACATGACAAATGGGCACAAAGGCATATCGAGAGTAAGAGAGAGAGAGAGAGGCAGAGAAAGAGCGAGAGCAGGCAATGAGGCTGTTTCAAGCAAACGATAGGTGGCGCTCGGGTGCAAAACGGATGCGTGTATGTTTGTGTGTGTGTGTGAATAGGTAAAGCTAAGAGCATTAAGTTTAAGACTGTTAAGCAAAGTGTGCGTGTGAGTGTGTTGCTTGTGTGTGTGTGTGTGTGCTGCTTGTGTGCCTGTGTGTGTATACGCTTAATTAACAGCTTAACTAAGTCAAGCGCAAGTTTTGCAACTTTCCCGCAGTTCGAAAACTGCTGTCAAAGTCACGTTGCAAAATGGTTTCGCGGCGTTGTTATTGTTGTTTATGTGTGTGTGTGAGAGAGAAAGTGTGTGTGTGCGTGTGTGTATGTTGCTGTGCTTAATCTACGATTCCTGAGTTAAAGCCTTTGGGTAATTCCTGATGTATTTGCTTGTACTTTGTACTTAAGTTTGTCAATTTAATGCGTGGGAGATTTGAAATGCCAAGAAAAGGCATTAGGATTGAGACCTTAGCATATAATATCAAAGCTAATAGTTAGTGCTAGTGATATGAAAAAAAGGTATTATATTAAATGAATCTAGCCAATATCGGAAAGTGTAGAGAAATCTAGCTCTAAATTGCGTAGCGTATAAGTTTAGTTCACGTTTGTGAGCTTGTCTACTTGATAGTTCAAGTTAACTTCAGATTTGCTTTTGGTAAAGATCAGAAGGGCCTAGTAGATTCCAGCTTTAATTAAAAGTTAAAGACTTTTATAGGAGACGTAGAGAATATATCGTTCTCAGCGCCAGCGCTTAAATTCTTGTATTTGACTATCTCAAAGAAGTAAACACTGAATGGCTTTTTAGGAGGTTATTTTGGGTGGGGTTATTTGTGGTTTTCAGATGGTTTTGATGTTCCATTGGAGAACTTTTCGACAATACACACAACTCATGCAGGAGACGCACCCAACACTCAAATGTTTCGAATCCAAACGATGAGAGATGATTTGACATGGACTCAAAGCGATTTATACAAGGTGGAACAAATGTTGTGTTTTATATAAATGTGTTAAGTATTTAGTTATGTGGATTAGTTAGTATGATGTTAGGCAATGCAAGTATATATATATATAGCTATGTAGTATTGTACAGTAAGTAAAACATGTGACATCTAGATAGAAGATAAATTCTTGTTTTTTTTTAATACTGATTTCCTATCATCTTGTCAAATGTTTTAGTTTCTGGGTTTTTGTACGAGTATCTTTGTTTGTTTGTTTGTTTGTTTTTCAAGCATTTACTCACAAAACGTTTTTCAGTTTCGCCCTATAGAAAATGAATGTAAGCACAACGGTTTAGATAGAGTTTGGGTTTTAGTATACATTATTTAACAACTTTAAAGAAACACAATAAGTATATTTTAATAGTTAACTATGATTGTATCTTTTTACTTTTTACGTTAAAGCTAAGTAAAAGCACTAAAAGAACATTACCGATATTTTAAAGTTTAACTAAACTTTCTCTAGCTTTCGCACAAAATGTTTATTTTTGATTTTACAGAATACAATTTACAGAATTCTTAAAAATTCGTTCAAATGTTTTCGGCTTTAATTAAATTAAGTTTAAATATTCATAAAAAAAGCAGAACTTTATTTAAAACTTCAAATATTTTGTAGAAAGGTTTCTGCTTTCATATTTGAACTATTTTCAGAAGATTTTATATATTTAAACTTTTGCAAAGACGCGCTGATTTGCAGGTGCAAAAGTGTGTTTATGTTTGGCTGTGAGTGTGTGTGTGTGTGTGTGTGTGTGTATGTGGGTGTGCGTGTGTGTTGCAGTAGTTGTTGCTGTTGCAATTGCTGAAAGTGTGGCTTAGTTCAGAAAGTGTTTGCCTTGTAGCAGTGGAAACGTATAGAGTATATAGATTGTATAGAGTATTCATTCATGAATCGAAGCCAGTGCAAACTATTATTAACAAGTATTTGTTGTTGTTGTTGTTGTAGCACACGCACACATAGACATGAAATTTGGCTTGCACTTTTTGCGAGAACATTTTCAGACAACTAGCTAATAGAGCACACACAGATACTCGTGTGTGTACAGATATAGATACGAATATGTTTATATATATATATATATAGAGAGAGAGAGATATGTATATATTGTATATGTATATATAGCGTTTATGGGACTTGCGATCGATTAACTGTACCTGTGTCACTCTCAGCTCGGCCTGAGTGCGCCGCAGCTCGGCGGCAGCCTTGTCCGCGCGCTCCTGCGCCCGATCCAGCTCCTGGGATGTGGTCATTGTGGTGCGTCCGAATGTCGTCTATACGCGACGCGAAACATAACAATTAGTATATAGTTTATGGCAGAGATATCTATGTATTAGTTGCAACTACAGAGTTAGAAAAACAGTTAGACAACAACACAAAACTGAAGCATTAGCAAAACAAAATAGTCCAGCAGCAAAGCAATTGAAAATGAGCATACGATGCGTATACGTAATTTGTGAATATGTGTGTACGGTTTTATATACTGATTTTGAAGGGTATTTTCGTTTAGATATACCCTACAAATTCAATTAAGTGTGCTTTAATGAACATGAGTTTCGATTTGGGATTTTGTATCAAGCTTTAATATTGTGGGTGGGATTTGATAATGGGTGCATTTAACGCTTTCAACATTTGTTTTGTGTACACCAAAGTAACTGCTTCAGAAATCGGTGTGTGTGTTTATAAAGTAGGGCTGCAAACACAACAAAAGGGTTTCAGATGCTGCCATTCAAATTTCCGACTAAAAGCCTTTAAAATTCGTATCAATAAATTTCTTTTTAAATATTTAGTTTGGTTATAAAATCGGTTTGCAGCCCCGGTCAAAGCTTACAAATTGAGTTCTTATAATTCAAGGCCTCAAAAAAGGAAGCTACACTTCCGTTTAACTTAATGTATATTAAATATATTAATATCACTACTCAACACTGCACTTTTGAGCTATGCATATTTAAGTGTTGTAAAATAACGCAAATTTATAACATAATGAGCCTGAGCTAGAGCCTAACGAAGCGTGACTACAAGGCGTATACTTCATATCGAGCATTGGCTTTGGCATATCGATAAATGTTTGTCTAAATCGGTGAGTTATCGATAAATCTGCGGTTCTACATTATTGGCTGGCCATTTGGTGGCCAACTTACCGATATTTTGCCCGTTTCGAACATTAACTTTTGTACATTCTGTAAAGTACGCAAAGTAAGATACAATATGCATGTTCAGCAACAATTAAATCATTTTACAATAGACATTGCATGATGCATACTTAATTGAAAGGCGATGATAATTGTATCCGCTTGAATTATGCACAATCAATTTGTAATCGTGTAAGTGTACAAGATTAAATCAAACCCTGCTACTAGCTAAAGTCTGTCTGTGTGTTCGTGTGTGCTCGTGTGTGTGCGCGTGCGTGGAGCTTGTTGTTGTTGTGCTATGTGTGCTGACCAGGCTAAAGAGAGGGGAGTGCGGCGTGCGCTGGTTATTGGCTACAGAGGCTAGCTAATTTCTTATGCAAATAGGCAGGCCCTAAAACTTGCAGTTGGCAAACAGTTTGAAACAGGCACAAACTATCATTAAAATTCAACTATTTATGAGTACTCAGTCGATTGCAATTGCGTCATTTGCGTAGTTTATCAACATGTGATTAAGTACTTTTCGAGTACTTGAATAGATAGTTATTGAGACGCTTCAATCAAATATTTAAAATGTTTTCTGTTAACTGACAGAATAATTGATGGGTTGATTGATGATTGATTGCTTGCTTGATTCACGCATAGGAGTTTACATGCTAAAATGCTCATAATTTCTTTTGACTGACTGACTGATTGATTGATGAACTACATAACACCCGCGCAGGTGTAAGAAAGCAGAAATTATAGTTGATGTATAAACATACTGAATGACTGATTGATTGTTAATCTACTCACAAATTAATTGACTAACCACGCACATCTATAACTGATGTATGAACTAAACAAGTAGTTTCTTCTGACTAATTGATTGACTGATTGATGAAGCACATAATACACGCACAATACCGAATAGGCTAGGAAATTAATTGATTGATGAAGTACAGAGTACCAGACAATGTAAGAAAGCTGAGTTGATCAATTCCTGATCATTATTCCTGCTGAGCGACTGATTGATTGATTGATGTTAAAAAGCTTTTGCTCTCATGATGAAGTCTTAAGGATTGCCCTTTGCATGTGGTTTAATCTATAAATTGAAACTAAAAAAGAAACAGAAAAACTGCTGGCTCTAGATGCTGCAAAATGCTTGTTAGTAACTAGTAACTAAAGTGTATTGCTACTGGGTGGTTTTTTTTAGTAAAAGATGTGAGCACTACGAGAAACGAGCACAACTTAGGCACTAAAAGTAGTTGGGTAGGTAGGTTTTGGCAATAGGCTTACTTTGTGTAGTGTGGTCTGTTCTTCTAGCTGCATCTATTTTGATTTTTGTTGTTGGTTAATGTATCGGTTATTCATATAAACATATATATATATATATATGGTAGAGTGATAAAGTTGTAGTTGTTGTTGTTGGGATGCGAAATGTTGTTGTAGTTGTAGTACAAAGTTGTTGTTGTTGTTGTAAGTGTACATGTAAATATATAGGCACACATAGAGGCAAATATTTATAGTAATTGTAAGAATATTGATTAAGATAAGTTATCGTTATCGTTATAGCTATCGATAATTAGATATTTGAATAGTAATTAAGTTCGCATATATATATATATATATATATAATTATATGTACACAGAGGAACACATTCGGTACATAGGCTTTATACTAGATATATATGCATGATATGTGATATATGAGGTTATAGTCGAGCCGAGGGAACCGGTCATAATGCACGAGTACCTGCGAACGTTCCAGATCGTGTTTCAGCCGCTCGTTCTCCAGCTCCAAACGTGCGATGCGCTGCTTTGTCGACTCCCAATCGGCGCTGCTGCGTCCCATCTCGCAGGTGGCCTTCTCCAGTTCCGCCTTCGATTTGCCCAGTTCGCTTTGCGATGCCTCCAGCTTGATCTCGAGCCGTTCGCGCTCGTTGACAGCACGTTCTAGACGCGTTTGCAGCTTCTCCAAATCGCTTTCGGCGGCGCGCAGCTTCATTTTGTAGTCGGCCACCTCGCGTTCATGCAGATCGCGCTCCTCCTGCTTTTCGTGCTCGGCGCGATCCCTTTGCTCGCGCAGCTGCGCCATTTGCTTCTCCTTGTCGCCGATGGCCTCCTCCAGGCTGGTGAGTGCGCCCTCGGAGCTGCTGTGGTGGGCCTGCATGGCGGAGAGTCGAGCACGGGCCATGTCCACCTGGTTATCCTTCTCCTTCAGCAGATCCTCCAGGTTCTCAATCTGTGGAGGTGTGTGTGTGTTTGTGTGTGTAGATAAGGCATGATTTGTATGATTGTCTGCTGCTGCTGCTGCTGTATTTGGCTCTGACCTTGCGCTGCAGCACACTGATCTTGCGATCCTTAATGTCCATGTGATCCTTGAGCTCGGTTAGCTCGCTGGTCAAACGATTTCGCTCCTGGACAGTGTGCAGTGTGCCCTGGGTCTTCTTCTCGATGAGCCGATTCTTCTCCTCGAGCCGGGCGCGCATCTCCTCAACGTCCGTCTGCAGCATATTGTAGTGCTCCTCTTTGGCACATAGCGACTCCTTGAGCACCGCTATGTGCCGCTGATAGTCCTAACGAAAGTTATTTTTTACTGTGCATGGAACAATTGAACTGTTTTTGGATTCGCGCAATTGCGCCAATTACCTGATGCTGCTCCTCGAGCGTTTTCATTTTGGCCGCCATCGCCAAGATCTCTTGATCCCTTCTTTGTATTTCAAGACGGAATTCGTCCAACTGCGCGGATTTGTTTTGTTTCGGGTGGATTATGGGTGGAAGAGGATAAGATACAAGACATACCAGATTTTAAAATTGCATCACAACTGCAAAGCATATGCAAACGCAGCTGCCTTGCCTACAAAATGATTAGTTTTTTTTCTTGCAGTATTATTTTGTAGTATTTTTATAGTATTTTCAGTATTTTTGCAGTATTTTTTGGTTGTGTCAAAGATACGCTTGGTGCAATGTGTTTTTGATTATGATTCGCATGTATGTATATATATGAGCGAAAGGGTACGGTGAGTGGGCTTCTGGGCGTGTGGGCGTGGCGAGCAAATGTGAGAGAATGTAAAATATGGCTGGCTAAAGTCATTGCCCCACTTCAGAGCCGAGGGTCAAATGTGTCAGAGTGTATGGCTGTGTGTGTGTGTTTGTGTGTGTGTAATAGACAGGGTTTGTTAAAGAGACGGTGTTAGGGGGAGGTGGTGGCGGGTGGGGGGTCATTATAGCTGGTTAATACTGTTAACCTGGTGCTAGACGTTAGGCATAGCTTATCCATTCGGTTGTCGCATGTTAAATTTTTTATTGTTTGCTTTCGAAAATTTCATTTATAATGCTTAAGAGTTAGGTTTTAAGTTTAACAGAATTCGTTTCGAGTTCGAGCTCAAGAATTAGTTTTGAATTAAGTCTGAAGTAATATATCTTAATTAGGTTTACAAATACAAATCAGTGTATAAATATATATAATATATATAGTATATCGCTGGAGTAGTAATTAATTAGGTATATATATATATATATACTTGTATATATATATAATATATTGTTTATGCATGTATACGTATTTAATAAGTATAAATATTTGCAAGTTCTCAAGATCATGACTCATCATTTTGTTACATAATATCATATTATAAGTAAATGCCTGCTTATTGATTTACTTCACGCTTCACAAAGAAATGGAACCCAAACGAAAGTCAGAAAAAAACAAAAAAGATAAAACAGTTTAACTAACTATTTAAGTATAGTTATTAGCTGTTAGCATAGTTAACTACATACATGTATGCGAATGTGTTTATCTTCTTGTTTATTCTTTCTTTTTGTATTTGTTTTTTAAGTATGTCCTTTACACGGACAGCAACTGCTGCCATAAATGCTTTCAATTGGCTAGTGTTAAGCTTATTATCCTTTCTTATGATTAGAGAGAGCGCGATTACACTTTGCTTGGGTTGGGCTATACGAAATCAGATGTTAGCATTAAGAAATTTAAGGTTAGGTTTAGTTAAAGTCCTCTACTGAACACAACGCAAGTTTTTATTGCTCGTTTCGGGGCGCACAGCGTATTGTATACGCAAAAGCCCGCCTCCTAAAAACCAAACACGCCCACAACAAACTAGTTTCGCTGGGGCGCTCAACTACAATAAATATATATATGTGTGTGTATATATATCTATATGCTATATACGACAAATTAGAGTAACTCCGGTTTTTGATTACACTACGTACTAGGCTATAACAAATGGGTTATACTTTCTTTAAGAAAAATACTATTCGAAAAAAGTCGAAAAAAATGTCTATATATCTTCATTTTTTTTTTCTTTTTTGAACGCAATTTCAAAGCCGAACAATTTGCATAGAGGAGATTTTGTTTTAGTTGAAGACGAATCAAAGTTTGTAATAAAAAGCACCTAGATACATGTACATGTGTATGTATGTATTGGCAATTAAATATATAAGTATATGTGTATATAGTATATATATATATATTGATGTATAAGTATAATATAAACGTTCAGTTTGGAATACTAAGTAGTGTTAGTTTCAAATATAGTATAAGAACTTTTAGTACATGTTACATAATACCATTTATTTTTATTTATTTTTTTTTGTAAAATATTCGCATAGACACATTTTGAATGCTTCGTTCGTTTTTGCTTTTCGATTCATATCTTTCGTTTTTCTGTTTTACTTTCTTTTTTTTTCACTTTTATTCAACTGCAACCAAATGCTGTGTTAAACACATTGCCAGATGTTAATATATATTTATATACCCAGCTTTCCGTGACATTTTCCATATATATATATATATATCATCATAATTCACACCATTTTCATTTGTTTTTTTTTTTTGTTTTCTTTCTTTGTATTGCACCCGTCTCTGGATTTGCATATAAATTTCATCTTTACATATAATTGACCTTCATTGCTAATCACACACGCTATTACTTAGTGGGTAATACGAGTACTGGTATATAGGGTCCGGCCAGACTCAGACTCAGACCGAGCTCGAGTCGAACCGAACGTAATAAATAGAACCGAATCAAGTTGGCGTTTAAAGTAATTGAACACACAATCTATTATGCAAATATACGTACGGTTCTTTAGATTCTGGAATTCTAGGTTAGGTAATTTGCTAGTTAGGTAGTTAGTAGGTTGGGTATAGAGGCGCCTTGGCTAGAGTGGAAGGGATTAGGTTCTTACTATGCCAACTTCACTTATACATACTTTAGATATACATGTATTTAGGATTAAGTATTTGCTACACTTCAGAGAAAGAGAGAGAGAGATAGGGGGAGCAAGGTCAATTAGATAGAGAGAGAGAGAGAGAGAGAGAGAGGGGCAGAGTTGCATTAACAATTTTTCTATATCTGTATAAGACTAAGTATGAGTACGGGTAAGAGTACTCGTTGGAGTACGAGTACATGTGTGAGTACGGGTACTTATTAGGTATTCATTTAATTATAACTTTCTGTCAAACCTCTCGCATAACTTAACACATACGAGTCTTGGGCTATATACCAAATAATTTAAAGTAAATTTTCTCTTAATATTCATTACAGTTTCTTTTTTCTCTTCTCTTGCATTTGTATTTTATAACTATATTGTATAAATGATTTATATATTTTATGAGTAAATATCATTTAGTTTCACTTTTTGTTGTTCTTCTTCTCTTTTTATATATATATATTTTTTTATTTACAGTCTTTTTACTTTTGAGAGTCAAGAGCAAAGTGTTTCAAATTTCTAACGAATTCTTTTATTACTATACAAGACTTTAACAATTTCTTTACGGAAAAGTTGCCCTGAGTGCTCTATGCAAAACTAATTAAAAATACCATAATTAAAATATACCAAAAAATACCAACATAAGATACCAAAAAATACCAAGAAGCTAAATTTCAAATAATTATGAAATAAGTAAACTTTACAGCTCTTTAAATTTGTTTTACACTAATCTCTTTCGCTACTGTAAAATGGCACATGAAACAATAGTTCTTCTTCTTCTCTTATGAACTAGATCTAATGCTGGAGCCATATATATCATATATGGCCTATATATATATATATATATATTGTATGTGTAATACTTGGTGTTCTATACGCTTCGAGAACCGCACACTGCAAATGTCGTGGGCTTGTTTTTTTGTTTTCGACTGGATGACTTGGGTTTTGGGGGAGCGTTGAGGGGTAAAAGCGTAAAATGCATCATTTAGTCAATAAAAAGATACAGACAGAACCGTTAGGTTGCTAAATGATTGTTTTTTTTGTTTTGTTTTTGTTTTTATTTTTTTTTTTTGGAATGCGCTGAGTTTCAGATACGATTTGCGGATTACGTTTTGATGGGCATGTTTTAATTTTTAAATATTTTTGAATGTGGCTGTTGAGTATTGAGTAGTATCGGATAGTTTCGGATAGTATCGAGTAGTATCGAGTAGTATCTAGGAATCTAGGGATAGCTGGTCTACGTCAAATTTAAAACTTACTTGTCGCTTATGCTCTTGCGGCAGTTTCGGATAATCTAAGTCTAGTTTCGAGTATGGCAAATGGTGGTGATGATGGTGTTGTTGTTGTTGTTGTTGTAGCTGCTGCTGATGATGCGTGTGCGAATATGGTGGGGCATGCAGCCCGGCCGCTAGATGATGATGATGATGCGTATGCGGATGCGAATGATGATGCGACGCCAGATGCGAAGCATGATGCAGCGGTTCGTAGCCGACGCCAACATCTCGAGCGCTGCTCGCCAGCGTACCGCCAAATGGGCCGCTCGTATTGGCCAGCGATGCCAGCGGATGGGTTTGCAGATGATTCTGGTGCTGATGCACATGATACTGATACTGCGGGTTCATCTGCTGCTGCACCGAGGCCTGTATATGCGAATGTGCCGCCTGCTGCTGCTGTTGCTGCTGCTGCTGCTGTTGAGTGCCGGCGAACTGCTGATGCAGATTGTAGGCCAGCGTCGAGCTGGCCGGCGGTGGCATCGAATGCTGCTGCTGATAGTACTGCGTTATGGCGGGATTGGAGGCATGCAGTGAGTGTGACATGAGCTGGCGTTGTTGTGCCGATGCCGGCAGGCCCAGGCCCAGGCCCAGATTTGAGCCGAGACCCGCACCCGAACCCAGACCGAGACCAAGACCGAGGCCGTAGCCGGTTAGATCGCTCTGATAGGGATTCGCGTAACCCGTTGCACCGTACTTGCAGCTGGCTGGCAAATAGCCACCGACAAGATTCGATACGGAGTAGGCGGGTCGCAGTCGTGCAGCCGCCGCAGCGGCACTTTGTGCGGCCGTCAGCTGCGTCGGCTGCTGCGGCTGGAAGTACATATTGGGCTGGGATGAGAAGCTCGTCGACATTTGCAGCAGGTTATCGTTTAGATACGGCGGCGAATAATCGCCCGCATGCAGCGTCGGATAACTGGATACCACACGGCCGGACAACGGTGTTGTTACCACCTGCTGTTGCTGGCACTGACCACCGCCCAGCTGTCTGGCCTGGTGGCTCAAGTTCAGGATCTGTGATGAGCGCGATATCGATTTGTTTGCCTCGTTCAGCAGATTGACAATGTTCGAGGAGCTAGTCTGTTGCAACGTTGGCGCCGGATAACCGTAGACATCGTTGTACATGGTCGCCGATGGCAGACCGGCAATGCTGTAACGTCTCCTCCGTATCGGCGATGTCTGCTGTCCGTAGATCTGTGCAGCGGCAGCGGCGGCGGCGGCGGCAGCAGCGGCAGCTGCTGCCTGTGGATCATACAAATAGCCTGTCGAACTGCTTGGCCCGTACAGTTCATAGGCATTGCCATAGCCGCCGTTGAGCGAGGTTGTTGTGACGCCCGGTCCACCGTAGCCGCCGGCTGTGACTGGTCCGTAATATTGTCCAATGATATCGGGCAGTGGGGGGCTTCCGCTTCCGCCCGTGAAGTTATTGTACATCTGAAATGGGGGCGATTTCAAATTGGTTTCTTGTGTGTTTCTCGTGTTGCTCTAACTGTAACTGAAACGGTTTTTTTTTTTTTTTTTGCAAAACTTGTTTTGTGTTGTTTTTTTTTTCTTGTAGGATTTGGTTTAATTTCAGAAATATTTGTTTTTATTTTTTGGTATTTTTTGTTATTTCATTTTGTATATTTTTTTATTATTGGTTTATTTTTGTGTTGTTTGTTTGTTTTAGTTTTTGGTGTAATTGGTAGATTTTTTGAGCTACATTTTTACTGTTATTATTATTAATAAATTTATTTTTATTTTAATTATTATTTTTGCTATTGATATTATTATTTATTGTTGCGCTGTTCCTCACATAAGTTTTGCTACAATCAAGGCACTTTTGTAGTTAGTTAATATATATGTCTAAATTGGTATATAGTATATATATATTATTATTATGTTAACAACAAGTGATTCTTTATGTTTGTGTTTTTTGTACATTTTAACCAAAGCGATTTTTGCCCGAACACTTACGGACTATTTTGGCCCCATATTTGTACGTAAAATTTAAGGTTTTCATTTACTTCTGCTTCTGACTTTTGTTGTTTTTCTACAAGTTTTTTGTTTTTGTTTACTTAATTCAACACTTTTTCTCTTTGCGCTTAATTTACAATAAGGTTTTGTAATAGAATTAATTGTTCTTCTTTCTGTGAACTCTCGTTCATTTGCGGTTAAGCATTTCTTACGCTCTTACAGACTTGTGTGTGTTCTTTCTTTTGTTTAATTAATATTTATTTTTGGCAAGCTGCACCTAAAAGTTCAACAAGGGGGTCGGTTGTATAGATATAGAGTGTGGTGGAGGGCTTGAGGGGGGGCGGGCAACATGAAATGTGTCTCACATTTTGCAAGAGAGCCACGCGGCTGGGTCGCTGTGTATGTGTGTGTGTGTAAGTATGTGTGTTTGTGTCAGGCACACGCTCACGTGCATTACGCCCACAACTGTTCATAGTGGGCGTGGGTGTGTGTGTGTTTGATTTGTTTGGTTGGTTAGTGAATATTGCGTATACGACATGTTTGACGAGAGGCATACAAATGCGCTTGGATTCTGATTTCGTTGTTGGTATATTTTGTTGGTATATCGGTATATTGAGTTTGGTATATTCTTGTATTCATTTTTTAGTATTTTTTTTCTGGGTAGTTGCTTGTACGCAGGAAAGAAACATAAATTACTTATAACAATATATAGTTCAGATGCATTATAGAAATAACGTGCAAAAGTATATTGTAAACAATTGTTTCTGTATATGTTTTGTTTATTTTTTGTATATTTGTATATATATATATGCATATTTTTGTGTGTTCAGTTGTTGTTTTTTATGTGAAAAACAAAATATATATATACATATACATATATAAATATATAGTATATATCATATATAGTTAAGTAATTGAATAGAGTTTTTGTTTTTTAGACAGACAGTGAGTGTGACAAAGACAGAGACTGTTAGACAGATAGAGAGAGGTTAAAAAAGAGACAGCAATAGTGTAAGACGGAGTGAGTGTGAGTAAGACAGATAGAGAGAGAGAGAGAGAGAGACAGAGAGTGGGATAGAGAGAGAGATGGTTGTTTTTGTTTTTATTGAATTTGAGCGCAAGTTTCTGGGCTTGCGACTGAGTTTCAAATGAAATGCTGTGTGTTGTGGCTGCTGTGTGTGAGTGTGTGTGTGTGAGAGTGTGTGTGGTAGTCTGTGAGTGTGCTAGAACCCAACGAGTGTTAGTTTTGTGAGTGACTTGTTGGTTGCTTTTGGTCTGCGTTGGTTTCAAATTTCGTTTTTGGAGTCAATTTTTATATACAAAACCAAAAAGTAATACATTTTTTTAATGTTTGTTGTTAATGTAAGTAGCTGCAACAGGCGGCCAGTCGTAGGGCGGGAGGGAGGTGTGGTTGAAGAGGAGGCACGTTCTTTGTTCTTGTTCTTGTTGTTGTAGTTGTTGTTGTTGTTGTTGTTGTGCACGTGTGGCGCACAATTTGGTAAGCAAATTAACGCAATAAAAACAACATACTTGAGTAGATAATATATATAATTATATGCATATATAGATATATACATAAATATACATATATATATATTTATATATATATATATATATATATATATATATATATATATATATGCTGATTATCGTTACGAATAGAGCGACAGAGAGATAGAAAGTGTGTTATATATGCATATATATGTATATTCATGTATAGATATATATATATATATATATATATATATATGTAATAGGTATAGGTATAGGTATAGGTATATAGGTATAGATAGGTACGTATTTGTATGTGGTATATACACGTCATAATTGTTTTATCATTTTATCGTCAAAGAGATTTGTCAGTGAATTCCTTGCCTACATTCTGTTTCTCATTCTTCTTTTTTTTTAGAGCCCGTCTAGCTTTTGACTTTTTTGTTGTTTGTTTTTTCCTTTGTAGTACTCTAATTGTGTTCTTTTTTTCTCTTTTTTTATGGGTGCGAAAATATTACAAAAGCATATTGTAAATAGTTGCATACGATATAAAAATTTGTTAATTTTTTTTTTTGGTTAAATGAATTTTCTTTTTGGTTTAGTTTTTGTTTTTTGGAACCTTTTTTTTTTATATTTTGTTTTTTGTTGTCTTTTGCATATTCTATTGTTTTTGCTTCGTTTTGTGCTTGCTTTTAGAACAACAACAAAATATGTTTTATTTTATAGAAAAATGATCAATTCTGAAAACAAATACAAGTAACTCGCTTTCAAAAGCGTTTGCTTTCAACTTTTAAAGTGTTCGATATTGTTTGCTTTTCTGTAACTTTTTATTGTTATTTTTTTTCTTTTCTTTTTGTGTTTTTTTTTTTTTTGTTTTGTTTTTGTTTGTTTTTGCATATATAAAAAAGCCAATTATTGGAGCCATTACAATCGATAAGTTTCGTGAAAAAATCGGCATCTTTTGGCAATAAAATGACAAAAGAATTATTCTTGTATGCTAAAAATAAATCACACAGTTCACTAATTAATCATTTGATTGCTTTAAATAATTTTAAGATTTTACTTTTAAATTGTTTTTAATATTTTTATATAATTTTTGTTTTTAGTTTTGTTTTGTTTGGTTTTTGGTTGTCATTGTTTAGATTGCTTTGTGTTTGTGTATTTAGGCATATATATATATAAAAAAATATATATATATATATAAATATATTACTTTTTGATTATGTAACAGCAAGAAAAATAAGGAATTGAAAAATTCAAACAGCGTTCCGTACAAGCTAATAACAAATTTAACTGGTTTTATTAATAAAAAAAAAATGTGTGTTATGAATTACGAATCAAATAAATGCAGTTCAATTTGATTGAATGTAGCACTAAGTTAAGTAAAGGAAATTGGGCGTAGAATATATAAAATCTGATTAATTTAAGTTTAGGCGTGAACTTAAACAACAAACGCAGCGGAAATTAAATTTTCTTAAGCATTTTCTTGAGCAACTGATTTGGATTTTTTTTTTTACCTAAACAACAAATTTGATGTGCAGTTTGATTTTATTTTATTTATGAAACTAATTTAAATCGCGTTCCTTTTTATATAATCCAGCCCGATCGCATGAAATCGATATATATCGATATCTTGTTTTTCAAGCCTAACTCAAAGATGAACATTTTGTATGCCGAGTCTCTTGGGAGTCTCTATTGGATATCTTTCCCCATTCTACGCCAACGTTTCTAAGGGAAAAGTCTTGGGCTTTGGTATTTGCCAACATTTTGTTCATTAAGATCGAACTATCAAAATCCAAGTTACTCCGGGAAAAAATTCCATAGCTGTGCTCTGCATTCAGGTTCTTTTATGCAATACTTCATGTAAATGAATGCGTAAAAGTTGGTCTAATTTTAGTTTTTTTTTTGACTGTCTTGTAAAGTCGGTGAATATTTTGAGTAGGACAAGCAGATTCTCGGGTATTGCAAAACGCATTCTAAAATGTTGATAATAAATATGTTGAAAAAATAAAAACACTTTGCTGTGCTAATTGAACAAGAACTACACATAAATTTGTTATTAGGAGTGAATTATCATTTTAAATGAATCAAAATGTGTAACACGGACAAGAACTGCCGTTTGTTGTTAAAATTGTGAAATTTGTATGAGTGTGTGTGTGTGTGTGTGTATAAAAAGTACTTCAAGTAAAATGTACGAACAATATATAAAGAAAAACATATAATTTGAAACACACGACGACAATGAACACCAACATTTAAGAAGAATCACATAATAAAGTGTGTGTATGTGTGTGTGTGTGTGTGTCTGTGTGTAAGGTATTACATTTAATAAAGGCCGCGTTTTAGAATGCGAATTTAAAGTATAAATTTAGAAATTATGCCAGCCCACACACAGCATTTAAGGATAGGGCGAGAGAGAGAGAGAGAGAGGCGCAAATGAGAGAGAGAGCAGGTGAGCTAGGTAAAAACGCTCGCACACTTAAAATCATGCCAAGAACTGTAGCTCACACACACATACATACAAAGAGCAAAGTAAAGAACGACACACACACATACACTCACAGAAATGTGGCCCAAAATAACAACATTTTGGTTACAAGGTTATTACGTATACGTCATGTGTGTCGCAATGCTTAACTGAGTGCTGTTTGTGGGTGTTTATGTGTGTGGGTTTAGTTGTATACATCTGTGTGCGTGTGTACAGAGAACACAATAACGTAGACTCACTGTACAGAGGGGAGGGAGGGGGATTGTGGGGAGATGGCAGGCTGCGGCGCACTCTGCGGCCAGACAAGGGGGCGTCGCTGAATACAAATGAAATGAAACACAAAGACAAAGCCAAAGCCAAAGAAAATGAAAAGCGAAAAGAAAATGTCGAAGTAGAAGAAGCAGCAGAAAAGTTAAAAAGAAAAGAAAAAGGCAAATGCAAACCCAAATGAAAATGAAGCGAGTAGCAAAGGCCGGAGGCAGCGGCAAAATAGAAGATG